AAAATATGCATCATGCCATAGTGACATTACTAAGAGACTCAATTACATTGGTAACATTCTCTTTGAAAAGGAAAAATATGATGAAGCCTTGAAGTTTTATCAACGTGTACTCGAAAATCAAGAGAACTATTATCCACATGATCATGTCGACATTGTGACGACTCTCAATAATATTGGCATAACACTTCGTAAACAACAACAATTCGATGAAGCGATTAAATATTATCAAAAAGCGTTAGAAATTCAAGAGAAATATTATCCATCAGGCAGTACTATCATAGCTAATACCGTCAATCGTATTGGTCATGCTTTGTACGACGAAAGAAAGTATGATGCAGCAATTGACTTTTATCGACGAGCACTTTCAATACAAGAATACCTTCATCCTGATGGTCACATCCAGGTTTCTTATACTCTTGGCTTCATTGGTAACACTTTATATGAACAAAAGAAATACGATGAAGCTCTTGAAACTTATCGAAAGGCCTTGACTATTCAAGAAAAACATCATAAATGTCCTCATGTCGGCATCGCAAAGAGCCTAAACTCTATGGGTAATGTTCTATATAGTCAGGAGAAATATGATGAAGCGATTGATTTTTATCAACGATCATTAACTATTCGAGAGCAATTACATCCATTTGGTGATGCTGGCATTGCTACTGTTCTTAGCAATATTGGGAATGCTCTGCATGCACAAATAAAGTATGATGAAGCTCTTGACTTCTATCAACGAGCACTAACTGTTCGAGAGAAATTCGGTGCAACTAATCATGTTGGCATAGCTGATAACTTGATAAACGTCGGCAATGTCCTTAGGGATCAGGGAAATTTCGATGAAGCTATTGAATTCCAACAACGAGCATTAACAATCCTAGAAGAAAAGTACTCCTCTTGTCATGAGAAAATTGCGGATAGCTTGAATCGTATCGGTCACATTCACGTTGATCAAAGAAAATACAATTTAGCTGTGGACTGTTATCAACGTGCCATAACAATTCTTGAAAAGTGCTTTCCTTCAGGTCATGTTGATATTGCTGAAAGTCTGCAATGTATCGGTATCACCCTGCATATGGAAGGAAAGCATGATGAAGCCGTCGTTATCTTTCAACGAGCACTGATAATCTACGAGCACTTTTATCCATCAGGTCATGAAAATCTTGCTCAATGTCTAGTTTATATCGCTTATGTATTGAGTAATCAAGAAAAATATGATGAAGCTTTCAATTTATATTATCGAGCACTGACATTCTACAAGAAAGATTCATCCAACCATTTAGATATCACTATTTGTCTGAACAATATAGCTCAAAATTTCAAAGATCAAAGCAAATATGATGAGGCTCTTGACTTTCAACAACAAGCATTGACAGTTCTCAAAAGCAGCTCGCCCAATGATCAATTTAGTATTGCTACTAAGCTCAAGGACATCGGTAGTATCCTGTTTCAGCAAACAAAATATGATGAATCTCTTGATTTTTATCAGCAAGCATTAATCATATTCGAAGAACATAACCCCAATAATCATAATGAAATTGCTGCTTGCCTATCCTGGATCGTTGCTATCCTCGATAGACAGCTCCAGTTCGATCGCGCCATTGAATACTTGAAAAAATGGTTATTGGTTGTAGAAGCTAGTTCACCTTCAAAAGATCTGTCCATCACTAACGTATTTACATGGTTGTCACGGGTACAAAGAAGAAAAGATCAACATGATCTTTCTCTTACATATGAACAGAATTGTTTCTTGATGCGTCTCAAACTGCTACCACCAGATCATGTGGATATTGGCAATAGTTTATCGACTATAGGTGAAATTTACGAAAATCTTCATAAACCTATGTTAGCACTTAATTACTATCAACAAGCATTAGTTATCTACAGACAATGTTTGAGTTCCTGGCATTATAAACTACGAGGTATGGAATGGAATATTGAACGACTTTCGGAAGAACTTGGAATAGAACTCGATGAATCAAATTGAATTTTTAAATGTAATTTTTTCCTATTACATATTATTGTTATCAAAATAAAGTGTTGATAGAAATATCTCGATAAGAACATGTGAGACTATCACATATGCTTGTTTTCTAACGAAACATAAAGTTATTCAGAGCGCATAATTCATTCCTAAGTAATCCAGAAATAAAATCAAATACATTTTTAGCTAGATCAGAAAGAATTACTTCGTACGATACCTTTTCTAATAAACTTTATAGAAGTAATCATAATTTGTACGAGAATTACAAGTCATTGTTTCAAGAGTGCGCATAGTATATTCAACACATATTCAAAAAATAGCTTTGAATCTATTTAAAGTAAGTCTTTGATGGAAAATATACTAAGTAATCAACATAAAGATTTGTTTCTTTACTTAATAATAATATAATTAATTGGTATTTTTGTTGATATTTCGTCTCGACAATGCTCGAACCATTTCGATATTATATCGTAAATGATATTTCATTCTTGGACAAACAACATATGATGTTTATCTTTCTCTTAACTTTGCTTTGTTAGCAAGAGAAACACCCTGCTCGTCCATCGATCATTTAAAAGTATCTTTATCCATTTGCTATATTTCAATTTGCCATTCATGGCTTTGCACAGCCGAATCTTTACAACTGATAGTAGTTTTTGATGCTCTTTCTAACGAAAGATATATCAAATTTGAATTTTAGATTTTCTTCTTTAAAGATGATTACTATTAAATTTTGGGAAATTCATGAAATACCACCAAAGTTTGTATACATATCAGCAATGAAAGCTTTCAAAAGTTTTATAATCAAAATGAAATCATCTAATCATTATTTCTTCTAACTCGATTGCTGTAACAGCACTTAGCATCGGAGACATCCAAAAGAAGAATGAAACCGAGTAACACCATAGCGAGAAAAAGGTAAGGATGTGGGTACAGATGTCTTTGCTTGCTTCATTAATACATACACGAACACTTACACTTCATATTTTTATACTGATAATATTTTTCTAAAATAATCCAATAATAAAAAACATTAGATTCGATTGCATATTAGTTATAGTATTAAATATTGATCTGTTTTTGTATACATTTGAATATACTTTGTTTATTTTCTTAATTTAATTCTTATTTATCAATATAAATACAAAAATTTATCCAATATGATTGTACGATGCACAGAAGGAATATACTATAATTAGGAATCGTTATCATTCAACTTTGTTCTGATTCAAAAATAGAAACATATTTAGTTCATATTAAAAGGAATAGTTTATTGATTAATACAACAATTCGAATCGATAAGAAACATCTTTGTAAATATTCTCAAAAATTGTTTATGACATGCAAAGATTTGTCAATGATCTTCAGAGACATAATTTTATAAGAGTAATTTATTTTTACTTAGAATTATCTTCATTAAAATACCATTAATTTTGTTATCATAAATACAAAATTATTATTTTTTTATTGATAATTCATATTCGTAGGGACTGTTTTACTGATGATCTATCTCTAACATATTGTTCGTATTGTGAAACTTGTCAATTTAACAAAATTGAGATGTGATTTATAGATTACTTTATCGATGTTTGCGTTAATTCCATATTTGTCTTATATTTCTTCATCGCTCAATGTAGAAAAAATCCATCTAATGATTTATTCGACATTTACCATTATGATTTTCTTCATGGAGTAGCTAACAAGGTAGTCTTTTCATTTTTATTTTCAAAAGACCAATACTTATTTGTTAATAAATTGGATTACTTTTGGACGAGTCTACTTCGTATGTTTTTCACGGGATAATTTTTTTGACAAAGAAAGAACGATCGATTCTTATAGGTTGTATTAAAGTTTTGGTCATAGTCACTAAGGATATTTTGAAAACGATCTTCTATAAAACAACGACCGATCTTCGTCGACAAATTCTTTAGTTTAATAGTTTCTCTCACTATTTTGTCATCTAGAAGTTCGTCAATGATTTTCTTATTATTATTTAGTGACTGAATTTCATAATTAAAATTTGTAGCACTATATGAAATCTTTTATTTCGATGGATTGACATAAGATGTTGATTAATATTCCTATAATGACCACTCATGTTCAATCAAGTAACTATTAGAAAGAGTAGTACTTCGTCAGTAAATATATGGAAAAATTAGTACACCATTGGTTATTTATGTTACTGCAGTTATTTCTTATATCATCGTTCTATTGAGAAAAGAAGAAAGATCCAAATAATATTTTAGAATTTCTTTGAATCGATAACGAAGATGCCCATTAGTCAGTAGAACAAATATAAGTGAATCAGTTCCTTATGAACAAATGTAGCAAACTATTTTACTTTATTTTTTGATTATATTCATGAAGATTCTTATACTTCAAACGTAAAATTCTTTTTAAACCTTGACTAATAATTTATTTCTGAGAAATTAAAGTATGTAACACAATGACATTAGTTTGATCCCAAGTTAAAAATTGCATCATATTGGTCAGATCTACCTTCGCGATAATAAACCTGAAGAAGTTCTGAAAAGTGCAAGAAAGTCTTTTACCATTCACTGACACTATCCATTACGCTATTGTCATTTGAGTAATAGTGCTGTTATTGATGGAAGGGTGTGGGATGTGGGGTGTGGGTGTAGGTGTGAGTGCGAGTGTGGCTGTGACTGTGGATGTGACTCTCTATCCGCTCACTCCCACATCCACATCCCACACCCACTTCCACACTCCTCACTCCTAGTTTTGTTCATGATTCCGTGCATGGAAAGTTAGTTGATAATCGACAAGAACAACGAACATGAACATCATCCTCAGTTCGATACTTTTCGACATTGAAAATCTACAATTCAACGAAAACTCTTGTTTATATTCTCAGTCCAGGCTCGATCAATGTACACAATAGTTCTTCTAATCATAGTGACAACTACTCGAAATCGATCAAAAATACAGAGAACAAAGTAATGCGAAAACTATTTGTGATCAAAATTTAAATAGAAGTCAATACAAAATAGGGCATCAATTATGATTGAATTGGATTTGTCGATGAAGATTGATTATTCGAATATGTTGAAGAAAGAAATAACTTGTTATAATCAGCATAACGTCTTTCGAGATCTTCTTTAGTGAGGCCGAACTCAACAAGAGAATATTTATTTCGACCTTGTTTACCTTGAGGATTTTCGAGAAGCCAATTGTGTATAGCTGTTTTCATTTCATTGGAACTAACGATTCGAGATATTGAAGTTGTATATAATAACATGGTAAAATCCAGATGGATAGGCTAATCGATTTGTAAAATGTAGATCGATTTAATTAGAATTTTTCTTTTCAAATAAGAAATCATTGAAATCCTGTGAGGACTTTGGAATTGTGCGGTTATATGCTTTCTTCAGGATTTTATCATTTTGCCAAGAAGAAACAGCAAATCCTTCGAGAATTCTTGTCGAATCTGTCAACAATCGGGAATAAAAATATCAAAGATTTTCGATAAGGATAAATGTTTTCTCGTCGCAGAATCAACTTACAACCTCGAAATCGTGACCATCACGTTTATGTGTTGAAGTGAGAAAAAGATTCGATTATTGAATAAATTCAGATTTGAAAATAATCACACATTAAAAGTTCCTTTCAAATAGAGAAATATATTCTTCTGATTTTTCAAAAACATTAATATAGATTAGTATGCAGTGGGGCTCGAAAAAAAAATACTTTGTTCAATCCCATTCAAGTTGATATGATGAAATAGTTGATATTAAAAGAGTTTAAATGTTAATTCTGTCACCGTATGTATATTTATATGTTAAGAAAAAAAAATAATATCGCCATTAGAGATGTAAACGATGACTAAGAGAACGAGAGAAAAGTTTACCTTTTTGACACACACTTATCGTTCTGCACTGTGTCGCCGAGGAAAAATACTTTTGTGACTCGCATATTTTGCACTTAACCTATAAGTCAGAAAAGTGCGGTACCTTAAGCACGCAGTGTAGAACGAAAGGAATACTATAAAAAGGAAACCCTCATTCTGCAGTTCATTTTATCTTTAGGAGTAATAGAATTTTTCTGTTCTTTGATAGTTATATACACCTCTGAAAAGCAAAAGCTGCAGTCAATATCTTAGCTCTTTTAACATGTGAACAGAGCACCTTGAGAAAAGTAATTCTACCGATCAATAGCGCTTGGAATTCTCTATCAAACTGTGTATTTTGATTGTATCTTGCTTTTATCTCCTGAAAAATTAATTAAGTAGAATAAAGGTCCACCCATGGTCAGATTTTCAACCAGTTGATTTCTGGCTATCTTTCCGATTAGTATTTCGAATGGATCATGGCCTGCGGAATCATCTTTTGAAAAAGTAAGTAGATATTGTATCGTTGTAGGTTCTTGTACTAGATTCTACACATTTGATAAGGTTCGTTTTAACGATCTAAGTTGCATCTTCGCGATATCAGCGTATCAAAGTTTCGTTTCTATGGTGATTCAATCGATCATGCAATGCACTAGCAAATTACGTATTGTAGTTCTATTGGAAAAACTAATTTCTATAGGAATGATAATTTAAGGGGAAAAGGGTCAGAAAATCGACTGGTTGAGAATCTGACCATGAGAGTGCCTTCATTCCACCTGATTAATTTTTCAGGAGATACAAGTAAGATACAATCAAAAGACACAGTTTGATAGAGAATTCCAAGCGCTATCGATTGGTAGCATTATTTTTCTCAAAATGTCATTTTTGTGTGTCAAAAGAGCTGAAATATCGACTACAGCTTTTGCTTTCCCGGTGTATATACATACATTGGTAGGATGAATATCTTTATTATTTTAATAAAGATTATTTCGCAGCGCAATCCTAAATATATTGGAATATAAGTAAGTTGCAGAGCTTTATAAGATATTTCAGAGAGTTTTCACATGGCTGGTCGATTACAAATCGTTAAATAAAAAAACAAAAGTGAACTGATCTTTTTAGTTCTCCTGATATTATTTACCTAGGAACACAAAGATTGATGTTGAGATATTTTTTTCTAAATTTAAGGAAATGTTTTGGTATATCTATATACTGAGGTTCTTTGTGTACTTTCAAATTTGAGACGATAGATATTGCACTTTTAAATCAAAAGTCTTCTCTATGTTCTCCATTAACCGGACTAACATACAGAAGAATAAAATTTCTTTCTGACGTACAGGAGATAAAGAATAAAATTCTGATCACATTTCTATAATTAAAAGGAATGCACAACAGTTTCCTTCATAACCTTTCATATTATATTAACACAGTTGAAGAAATACTACGATTAGAATATCTTCGATTGTTTATGATCACTATTTCTCTTCGAAGAATAGATATTCTGTTATAGAATACATACTCTCGTCCCTATCCCTATTGTCATTTTTTTACTTTTTCTGAAATGAGATAAAAACATATATATATACAATCGTCTTCGAATAATAAATAATATAGAAATGCTATATTTTCACGGATGATCGACAATGATAAAAGTGATTTTATTTTCCGATGAGATTATATACATAGAATATTCTGACGTAGAAAAACTGTGGAAGCTTTAGATCAGATGGTGATTAATGATACTTTTTCCAAGCAATGATAAATTATTTCTTCTGACACCCTAACATAAATGCAGTTCAAAATATAATTACTTTATTTGTAGAACTCTTTTCGAAACTCTTGTCAATTCTTTATTAATTACTAGTCAATTTACTATGTCGACTGGAAACACAACATTCAGCTATACGCCAGGAGGTGCTGATGATCCGACAAATCCATTCCATTATATGCCTTCAATGGGTGCCGCTGTCGTGTCTCTAGTCTTCTACATACTATTATTTATTATTCTCATGCTTTGGATTATCTGGAAACGAAGTTGGTACATGATTCCACTCGTAATTGGATGCCTTATGGAAATCATTGGTTATGGAACTCGCATTCCATTAGTGTTAAATCCGATCGGACAAATTTCTTTATATGCATGTATGCACGCTTCCATCATCCTCGCGCCTGTATTTAATGCTGCGATAGAATATGTGTTGCTTGGTCGATTAATGCATGCTGTAGGTGATCATTACTCGTTGATTAAACCAAAACTGGTTGCCTGGATCTTTATCATTTGTGACATTATCTCATTTTTTATTCAATCAGCTGGTGCAGGGGTACTCACCACAGCTAAAGCGAATTTGGAAAGCGCAAAAACTGGACTGAATATTCTTCTAGCTGGTCTTGCAGTCAATCTCGCCTCATTTGCTATTTTTTGTCTACAAATCATCTATTTTGACTATCGTACAAGAAAATTACCTCCCGCTTTTCCAGCTGGTAGTGTCTGTCAGAAAGGTTGGCGGCAATTCCTCTATGTAATCTATCTCAGTAGTTTCTTCGTGTTAGTTCGACAAATCTATCGTGTAATTGAATTTGCTCAAGGCTTTACTGGCTATTTAGCAGTACATGAAGTCTATTTTTATGTCTTCGACACTATACCAATTTTCGTGTCCGGTGCAGTCTACGCTATTTTTTTCCCTGGCAATGGTTATTTACCACGGAATCGAAATGACACTTTTACTACTTTGGAGAACAATGAACAGAATCTAAAAGAAACGAATAATAACAATAATAACGTCATCGTTTTTCAAAAGGATGCCGTTCTTAATGAAATGTCCTAAACTGTCGATATGTGATTATAATGATTGTTATCGTCTATGCACATCAATATTCTATTGTCTCTTAATATATCTTTTGTCTTTGTTCTCGTAAATAAAAATAAAACAAGATTCAGACATTAATATTGTAGACTATGTAATCTTTTTAACATTAATTTTAATTGAATCATTGGATAGAGCATAAAACGTTGTTTCTATAAAATAATTTTCAGAACTATGTCTCTAGAACTCATAGTTTGGAAGCATTTCCAAATTTGGGAAAAATGACGGTTTATGCTAAAATTGATATGCTGATAAAATTTAGTCTTTCGACTGGAAACTCGGAGTTGCAATCAAATTCCAATGCTTACAGTATGGTAGAAAATAATTGAATAAAGATCTAAAGATAAAAGAATATGGATTTTTTAATAATTCAACAATATTTCTGGTTCTTCGGTTACTCGGTGGCTTTTGATCAATGATGTTTTCTTTCTCATTTAGAATTGTCAATCTTGATCTCTTATATGGAAAATAGATGAGAAAAAACTTTAAACGACATCTCCGGATATGGCCATTTTCCGAGTCTCCTTTTTTGGCGCGTGAAGATGTGAGTGCACGTAAGGACTGGCATGATCGTGATTGTGACCTTGCTTGAGGCCTTCTTCTCGCGAAAAGTTGATTTTCGTCCAAAAACATCATTTTTGAGACAAGCATACGGGCATGTCACCTAAGGCGTCTAGTTTACGATTTCATTAAAATATTTCTGAATTTCGAAGTTTCCAAGGAGCTTACCAAGAATTTCTGGAGACCTATGTACCAAATATTATTTTGTAATATAATCGCTAAAATTTGCTTGATAAAGGAAGTTCTGAAAGTCAAACAAATAAATTTTGGTAGGTCATGCTTTATGATTATGACACACAATGTATGTGCCTGTCTATATATGGAGGAATTTTTGCTGAGATAAGCAAGAGCACTTGATGACTATATTCACTTCACCCTCACTCCTCAATCATAATATGATTACTGAAAGATCCTATTAGAAGTAAATAAAGTTCCTCTAAACATGTCGCTAGGACTAAGTAAGATTTCCATAGGATAGAGAAAAATGTAGTACAATATCGAAGAGGAACATCCGAAAAGATTTTCTGTTTTGTAAACTAAAGTCCTTTTGTTTCGTAGAGGACTTTAGATAAAGTAGGCATTTTTCAGACCTTTGCCAGCTCTCTAGCAACACGCAAAAAGACATGTTTGTTGTAACCATATAATGCAGTAGCTGGACGTTCTTTTTCTGTAAAGGTGAGTAACGTTTGTCTGTGTTAAAATGAATGTCTGGATGATAATAGAAAAGAAAAAGGAACAGGTAGAGACGAAGCAAAGAATAGAACAGAACGTGATGATGTTCGTCGACTTTAAAAAGGACACGGTTGACTCATACTTACTAAAAAATGCATATTATTCATCACTGATCACTGCGCGTAAGTCGAGGACGCATACACTGAGAGTGCGTGCATACGGCGAGGACACATACAGTGAGAGTGCATACATTCAAGACACGTCTTTCACCCTCATGATGTCAAGGGAGAAAAATTGGATACTGGAACCAGTGTT